ACTACTACCAGATGATTGCTGACTTGAACCTGTACTACTTGAAGTGCTTGATTGTTCATTGCTTGAAGATCCCTGTGTCGAGCTTGAGGAACCAGTCTGATTACTACCAGATGACTGCTGATTTGAACCAGATTGATTGCTTCCTGATGACTGCTGGTTTGAACTCGAAGATTGATTGTTACTCGAAGATTGTTGACTCGATGTCGCGTTTGAACTAGTACCACCAGTTGCCATAACACGGCATTGCTCTTTTTGCACATCCGTCGGGTGATTGCAACCTAGGATATCTGGATCCCACACTGCACCGGGTGCACAATCGAAAGCAACCTTATCAAAACCTCCATTGCCGTTATCGACACAACGATAGAAGCGACGACAGTCCGATTTATCAGCTAAGTATGTCTCAGTGTCTTTGCAATCTCCATCTGGATTGGAAGGTTTTAGAGCTGTGGTCGTTTGGTTTGTTTGCTGCTCTTGTTGATTATTGGATTGATTGTTATTGGATTGGTTGGAGGAACTAGATTGATTGCTACTTGAGGCAGATTGGTTTGAGCTACTAGTTTGACTGCCGGCTGAAGAGGATTGATTGCTTGAAGAGCTTGATTGATTGCTCGTTGTTGTTTGGTTGTTGGAGCTCTGTTGACCACTACCTGATTGTTGATTTTCCGTCTGCTGATTACTGCTACTGGTAGTGTTTGTAGGGCCACCTATGTTAAGCATCGCTTTACATTTTTCCTTCTGCTCGCTAGTAGGTATATCACAAACTTTCTCATCTTGGTTCCAAATAGTGCCGGGTCCACATGCAAACGGCACTTGTTCCAAAGCACCATTACCATTATCCCGACAGCGGTAGAATTTTGTACAATCCTCCTTATCGGGAATGTAAGTTTCGTCATTCTTACATTCGGTGGCTGTATTGGGTTTATTGCCACCAGATTGATTGCTCGAGCTTGATTGATTGTTTGAATTAGATTGGTTACTCGAGCTCGATTGATTGTTGCTACCAGATTGATTGCTTGAACTAGATTGGCTGCTTGAGCTTGATTGATTGCTATTACCAGACTGATTGTTCGAGCTTGATTGATTGTTGCTACCAGATTGATTATTAGACCCAGATTGGCTAGTTGAACCTGATTGATTACCTGAACTAGATTGATTGCTAGAACTACTACCAGAAGACTGATTGTTCGTGGCTGTTTGACTGCTGGTATTCGATTGATTATTGGCGGCTGTCTGGCTGCCAGAACTAGATTGATTATTTGTATTAGATTGATTGCTTGAACTTGATTGCTCCGTGTTACTAGATTGATTGTTTGATCCTGATTGGCTATTGGAAACCGACTGATTGCTTGAACTAGATTGATTGTTTGAGCTCGATTGATTATTAGAGCTATTACTGCCAGGCTGATTGCTTGAATTCGATTGATTGTTTGCACTTGATTGATTGCTACTGGCGCCGTGATTAGAACTTGATGTAGATGTTGAACTTGTGCTCGAAGTCGATGATTGTTGACTACTTGAACTTGAGCTCTGTGTGCTTGATTGCGATTGCTGGTTGGAAGAATTACTCTCAGTGCTGCTTGATTGAGTGCTTGTTTGCTGCTGATTGCCACCTGCACCGCTGGTATTCGACGCACTTGAGCTAGCAGTATTCGACGAGGACGAAGATGATGACGACGAGGACGTGTTTGAGGATGAGCTAGTCGAACTCTGCTGGCTACTGCTGCTCGAAGTTGTAGTATTTTGATAGTTGCTTTGTGTCGATTGAGTTGTAGCCGCGTCGTAGTCGGCCAATACTAAATTATCAGCCTTCCCTTTACATCCACCACTGGCACGCACGTTGTGTATGTGGTTACACGATTCCAAAGCGGCATCCCACGCGGTGCCGTCCGAGCAACGAAAACCGATTTTATTGAAAGTCCGACCATTCGAAATGCACCGATAGAAGATTGTGCAGTCGTCTGGATCGCTCATAAATCCATCATCTTCGCAAGGTGGTCCCTGTTCGTCAATGGCATTGCCACCCGCTGAACGCGCCACCGATGTGGAAAAGGAAATTACGGAAACGCCACCCAAACCTGACAGCCCATAATTTTGCAATTGACCACGCGTTGCAGTTTCAGCGGCAGTGGCAGCGGCAGCGAATGAAGCAGCATCGGTGTCGATATTCGCACCCGTATCGCTTGCGGTCGCGTATGTGCCATTACCGTTATTGGCACTGCCATATGTCAGTAGCGGCAGTTGTTGGCCATCAACACCATTATCGCCATTGTCCGTATCAATTTCGTTCATGTAATCGCTGCATTCCTCGCGGCCGGACAGCTGGGGTGGCATGCAGAGGCGTAGGTTGCGCGAGAATACGGTGCCAGATTTGCAGGCGAATGCATAAGCTTTGATATAGTCATTTGTTTTCGCTTCGCAGCGGTAGTAGATACGACAGTCGTAATCGTCGGCATATAAACCTTCGGCCGGGCAATGGAATGCACTCGGTAGGGCGGCAGCGTAGGAGTATTGCGCGTGGTGACCTGGTGCGGTCACGGCGTTAGTGGCGCTAAGCGGTTCATCTGCAATTGAAAGAGAAGTTCACAATGTGTTAGTGTGAAGCTATTAAAGGATAGGTGAGTTTATGTATGTGTGTAAGAAGTGCTGTACGTGTTGGGGGAAATGGAAATTTATTGCAATTTTTACTCCATTCGAATGAAGAGATTTATTCGAAAATAGTAAAAATTTTAACGGAAGACTAAACCCTTCGTTAATTCAATGCTTATGAGCTGGTTTGCATTCACATTCCATACGCTTTTAGCTTCTTCATTGCGACTGGGTAAGGACTTTTCATGTTTCTTAGGGAATTTTTTAAATCTTTATACGACTTTTAATATTTTTATCCTCTGACCAGGGTATATCAAGTTTGTCACGAAGTTTGTAACACCCAGAAGAAAACGTCAGAGACCTGTTGCAGTATATACCATATAGTAGATGGAACTGAACAATTACAAATTACAGTTAGAATTTTCAAAATATCGATTTTTGTTAATTTTATTTTCTTAATGTACATATATTTATGAATACACAAAGAATTTTGCCATTTTGTCAAAAAATTTTAGTTTATTATTCCTTCGATTAATTACTAGATTTAAAATTACTTTAACGAAATCTGTTTGTTTAATTTCAGATGATTCAGTTCAGAGATAAATGGTCACTGCAAACCGTCTTTTTTGAGGGGACCTCCCGGAGATCAGTTGTAGTTCCTTTCCAAATAAATACTTTTATGTTACTAATACTAAGTCTTAAAATACAGTTAAAAAATATCATAATATGTGTAACACATTTTTGGATCTAAAAAATTAAAAGTTTTCTCAGAAAAACATTCTGGAAAAATCGATTTTGCGATCTTCTAACTGTATATAAACCTTTAATCAATCAAAGTCAAGTTTTGCACGAGGAAGCCTAAGGTAATGCCATATTCTCCAAATCCAAATTAAATCGAAAAAAAAATATTTTTTTTGTATGTAAAAATTGATTATTTGTCAAGGTAACTATAGCTACGGTGCAAGCGAAGTTACCATTATTACTTGTTTTTATTTTTATTATTTTCCTGTAAGCAGTGAACTAGTAAAAATATGTTCTTCCCTACAAATTCGCATTATAATCCTCATAAGCCTTCTGTATTAATAGCGCTGACTCAACTCCCTACAATTATTTCCATTCACATTTATTTTATTGAAAATCTGTCCTTACAAATAAAATGGCAAACCATAAATATCATTTTATGCCTAATCGCAAGTTTTTCACATAGCGAGAGCGAAAAAATCCAAATAAAACATTTCAATCTCATTCATTTACATTCGCTCGCGGCTATCAATCGTTTGCCTCTGAAAAACAGCAATAAATTTATATCAGATTTTACCTTCCGTGACGGAAAATTTAATAAATCTCTGACGCAATTGACCTACATGTGTACGTAGAAACCGTTGCGTGTATGACAAGCAGTATGTGAGATTATTTCGAGAGTAATTGGCAACCAAATGAATTTGCGGCGAGAGTGGATTTTAAGAAATAGAAAAGATACTGTTATTGCGGAGATTCGTGATTTGTAGCGTATATGTCGCCAGTTATCAGTCGAAATGCTCGAATGAGTCATCGAAAATTGAACTCAATGGAAGGACCAACTGAGACTTAGTCGGGGACAACATTTGAAAGAGATGATCTACAAGAAATTAATACCAAAAAACGTTCTTTCCAATGGTGACATATGTACATTGCCCATTATATCTTAAGTTTCTGTGTTTTTTCTTTAAAAACAATTGGGAACCTCGACATGGATTATCCTTAATTTTTAATAATATTTTTTTAAMTATTATTTTTTTAATTAATTAATATAAATTTAATAATACTTTTTGAAAGGTTTTCACAAATGTCTGACGTTTATTTTCAAATTTTTGATAAGTGGCAACTCTAAGTATACTATATATGTTGCTGCTCTCAGTTCCAAAATACGTTTTTAGTCCTTCGTAGTTTTTGAAGTTTTTTTTTAGTTTTGTTTATAAATTTCACATCTTTTTGACACTAGTTACCGAACTGATATTTTGGGACTAGTTACCGAACTGACTTTTTGTAACTAGTACTTTTGAGAATAGCAAATCTACCACACCATCTACCTGCATATTCGCACACTTGAATTGATTGTATTGCAATCGGCAATGCAGTTGTCACAGATTCACAACGACGAGCATTCATTAAAAAAAAAACACATTTTTTGTTGATTTATTTTCAACCTCCAGCTGTACAGGGCTTTTTTGGGTGGAAGGAAGCTGTAAAAATGTCAGCTATTGCAAATCAACTACTCAATTATGATTTCCGCACATTTTTTCCACCAAAAAATACCGATACCGTTCAGCGGTAAGGCCAGACGGCGGCGGCAATATTTGGCGGAATTAAAATTCTGTTTTTTAATTTATGATTTATTTTCGCGGTTTTTTAAGGGTTTTTAAGTACTTTTTGATTCGTCAAAAGATATTTAGACATTTGTTATTTGTTGTTGTTGTATGCACCTATGCAGTTATTTGGCTTAGAAATATATTAAATTTGCAACATATTTTAATGACATCGCATTTAGAGTCACTCAATTGCGCGGCGAGTGCATAAGTGTGCTCAATCAACTTTGTGCTTGTATGTGTAGTCGATATGTACATATGTGAGGTCGGCATGTTTTTACACGAAGCACCAATTTATTTCCATTTCATTTTCGTTTTGCCATTTGCTGCTCGTGAATTGCTAAATTTATTTTGACTTGGTTTACATAAATGCTGAATAATGGCGTGTGGCCACCAATACTGTTACTGCCACAGTGTGTGGGTGTGTGTGTGTAGCAAATAAATTCATATACAATTGTATTGGTATTCGCGCTCATCGTGGCTAATGCCGTTATGAGTAATTTTAGCAGCTTTTTGTTATTGTTATTTTTTTGTGTGGATATTTTTCTTCTCAACCGACACGCGCGCAATTTATCAGCAAAATTAGAAACTTTATGGCAATAAAATGTGATTATATTCATTGAAGTGCATAGCGTGCGGAAATTGTAAATAATTTACTTGTCGCCGTTGTGGTTGCGGCTGTTTTCAGTGTTATTGTTGTAACATTGTTGCGTTTGCCGATCTAATTCATATTTGCATAACTGGTTTTACTTACAAAATTCGTGTACACATGCATGTGTGTGTGTTTGAACTATATTTTTATGCCATAAATTTGAGTGCTTTCCCTGCTCATTTCCGAAAAATATTTGAGCCTAATAGCCAAGCACTAATACTCAATGAGCTATGCCAAATTGCTCAAATGTCAATTATATGCCAACTTGTAGTACTAAGTTCATAAATATGGGCAAATATATTCCGGAATATGTCAGAGATAAAATAATATTGCGGAAATCATTACTGCGTCTGCGGTTAACGGTTTTAAGGCGGTAAAAATAAGTAGAAAATCAAATTTTTTGGCGAATTTTCTTTCATTCCATTTATGGAACGACTTGGCACACTTTACGTCGAGATGTCAAATTGAAAGGGTACAAAATAGATGTTGTGCAATAACTGAAGCCGCTCGACTATCCTAAACCACATCACCTCGTTCTATGAGCTCTTGAACATCCAAGAAGATCCGATGTTTTCAAACCAATTTCTGGCTCAATGTGTATGTAAACACACAAAATTTCCGCATATGGGACAAAGAGCTACATGAAGAGATTCAAGAGCTGTCATTTCATCCAGAAAAAAATACGGTTTTTTGTGCTTTGTGGGCCGGTGGAATCATCGATACATATTTTTTCAAAAATGATGCCGGTGAGAACCTGACCGCCAAGCGACCTTTATCGAGCCATGGCAACCGACTGTTAGAGGCTTCAACAAGATGGTGCCACTTTCCACAAATCGCATCAATAGATGGATTTATTGATATATTTAATCTTACGTTTTGGACCGGTCGATTGGCCAAGATTGTGTGATATCACATAGTTAAATACTTTCCTGTGAGTATATGTGAAGTGCAAAGTCTAAGCGACCAATCTCGCTTCGGTGCAAAATATCACGCGTCATTCGCCAGTTACCAGTCGGAGTGTTCGAATTATCGAAAATTGGACTCAACGAATGGACCATCTGAGACGTGGCCGCGGTCAACATTTAACTTGAAGTTTCTGTGTTTTTTCTTAAAAGAAGTATGGAATTCTGAAATGGATTACCCATTATCAGCATGAAGCGCCGACTCCACCTGTCTGTATATAAGCGAACTAGTCACTCAGTTTTTGATATATCGATCTGAAACTATAGCATATAGCTCAAACAAACTGACCAATCAATGTTAAGATATTAAATCAATGTTAAGATATTATGGTATAGCGTACGCACCTATGGAGGGTATAATAGCTTTTATTCTTCCTTTTCGATGATTTTCCATCCAAAACATTTTTATGAGTAATTCCAAATTTTAGTAATTCCTAAATTATTTTTATATTGCCATCAGCCTGCAGTACTTTTCTTATGCATTTTCCCATAAACATATAGTTTATAATATAATGAACTTCTATTTACCATCCATTGAAATGTCTTTCTAATTGCTTTTGCCACTCTAGTTGGACACATTTTCGCACACAATCAATGTTAAAATTTTTAATTTAGGAAATGTATCTATCAACTTTCAGAGAAGATTTCATATTCCACAGAGTTTCTACGAAAATTAATTTATGCACTTCTACACATGCTACATGTGCGTAAGTGTGTGTGTTTTTGTATGTGTGTGAATTTTAATTAAACTTAAAAACATTGAGTGCGTACTTAAAATATTTATGCGCATATCAAAAATGGCACTGAGGTCAGTTCATGAGTGAGGTTGTGCGGTAATAAAAAGTTATAAAATAAGTAAATTTCCACTCGCTCATAAAATTGTAGTTGTGTTGCAATATTTTACAATGTTTTGATATGCCACTTGATATTCAGTAGCAAGAAATCTGCATTGCTGCTGTTGTTGTTGTTGTGGACTACTTTGCATAGCTAGAACCGGAGAACCAGAGTTCATCGTC